TTTTGCAAATAAAACGGAAAACACCATAAGTTTAGTTTTAGGAGGCCCGAGAGCCGCTAAAGATTGATAATGCTTTTGTCATCAGTGTATAATTTCGCGGACCTACGGCACACATGATTGATTTCAGAAACCTCACCTCGGAATCGAAACAGTTGCACCTGCGATGAACCTCTTTATCCATTCTATACTACTGATAGCTCGAATCAATTTTTTATTGTACGAAAATTAATTTCACTTCGCCGGAATTTTACATCGATCTGATATAAAATGACTCATGTAATTCGTTCGCTTCGAACACGGCCCTAATAAGCAGCCACTGATGTTCATAAAAATTTAATATTTTTTATGAACCAGAATCGTTCCAGTTCGACATTGCTTACATTTTTTCACCCCTTGTGAGATTTAGTGGGTATGGGATAAAAACCTAAGCTGAGTATGTAACCTGCGATGATAACACAACCAAGTCTAACTAACGCTTCAACCGCTAGGCCATTGCACCCAATCCGGAGAATATGTGGCAGCGCGAGGATCTTTATTCAAGGTTGTTTCTGACAAATTCCGACATACTAAGAAACCACTCGATCAATAGGTTCCATTAGATTTAATCAATAGCTATATCTATCGCTACAAAAAATATTAAAACACTCAATGAATTAATGTAAAATGACATGATAATGTACAATGAAAGTTACAGACTTTAAAATTAACTTTACACCAAAATCATGGAAAAAATAAATGGATTAAAGTAAAATATCAGTAACTGACTTGAAATATTGTAAAATAACAGTAAATTTGATGCATTTTATTACAATACATCAATATCAATGAACATTGCCGGGCATGGGTTGTCAGGTAGATTAGGATCAATGACAGGCAAGCTTGTACTTGGGCATCGATATTAAATGGAGCGATTAATACAATCAGGATAGTTTGTAAGAGGGTTTGAAACCAAGACTTTGCCTGTCAAATGTCAGATTTCATGCTTTGAATCGGCGAAAATAACATGAGAAATAACTATGGGATATCGGTTAGTTTGTGTGTTTTTTGAAAGTATGAATCATCGAATTTGAGAATAATTCTGCAAAGTCGAGAATCACTGGAGCGGGGTTAAAAATGAACTCATAATCACTACACAAACTACATTAACCAAAATCTACGTTATATTAAAAGCAAAAATGCATGTCTAAAATATACACTGACCCAATCGATTAAAATGATAAAAATATTGCTATTGTAGCAAAGGGGTCGCTAATACCTTTGGGATAATATATGAAGTCTAAACCAGAGTGCTGTGCGAGTCGGCATGTTTTTATCGGAGACGGAAATTTGAATTTGAGAGAGAGTCGTAATTTCAAAAGTTGAAAATTTAAAAATATGAAGTTGGTTTAGTATTATTAACAGACAAATTGAAGATGACAAAGTGGGAGCTACTATCTTTTTTTATGGTGCTAAGACACATTCTTTGCTCCGAACTAGGCTTGCACGTAATTGACAAAAATCAATTCCGTAATTACGGCAAATTCAATTACGTAATGACCCCGTAATTGCGATATTTTTCCACGCATTTAAACCTATCATAACAAGTAACAACCAATAAAATCCACTTCCTTTCCGAATGGGTCATTGAAGTTGGGTTTTCATATTCTTGGCAGTACTACACGCCGTCGGCAGATGTTAAAGACAAATATCAAGGAGTGAATTCAAATTATTTTTATTCTGATTTTTATCTTTCGTGTTAGCTTTGGTTTTCCTTTATCACCTTCGCAAATTACCCGTCCCATTTTTATGCGATCAATTTTATTTTATCATTACCGACACTGGTATACGGATATTTATGAAAACGAGTTTTTAAAACTACCTTAGTACTGAATAAAAATTACGGGTTTCTAATTTATTAACTAACGACGAGCGTATTCTCTCGTTTGATTATACTTGCGATTTCCTCGCGACGAAGACTTGTTTTTGCAGCGTCTTCTGCATTATCCGACAATACTGCCTTGTTAGCATTTTATAATAATAATTATTGATGTCGACTTATTGACGATATTCCGATTACCATGCTTCATTTTACATTTAATCATTTCGCGGACTGAATGTTTATAACATTATTTGCGATAAATTTAGATCAAATATCATTTATTTGAGTATAATTTAAATATGGAACTTATATGATATGCCTTCTCCAAAAACACAAATTTATATCGCAAAACAATGCATTTTGTGACATTTATTTTACACTCACGACATTTATTTGCTAACTCAAGTCGGCGATCCTATCGGCCAAGATTGACACAAGTTTGGTCGAGTGCCGGTGGTATTCAAGTCGACGATAAATCAAAATAAGTTGCCGCATTTGGTAAGACAGTTAATCATATATGGCCGAAATATTGAGAGGAATTGTGAAAAACATCATGAGCAAGTTCGGACTGATATATAACGATAAAACCGTTAACAGAACATCAAGATTTTGTAATAGAAATGGATCTCGCACAGAATAAACACACTGGCTCATATTTGATTATATATGATAGCAGTTAAATAGCGGTCCGCGAGGAATCCGTCGTTTTGCTGTTTCTCTGCCGTCTCAATCGCTTTACCGATGCCGAGAAGACGAAGTTGCGTTGGTTCATTACGCAATCTCTCTTTTGTCGTCATATTGCTATTTGATAAGCGCGACATTAATTATCACGGCGAGGTATTGGCGCGAGTGATCAATCGCTCTTTTCGCTTATTTGGTTCCAATTCGTTGCGAAAGCTCTTCGTTAAATTTCACAAGATCGTCGTGTTGAAAGGTTATGGATATTTTCCTGTCTATACCCCAAGTCTGAAATAAAACAGCCAAAAACAGTATGATATTCTATGTTCATATATCAAGTGATGATATTAACAATAAAGAATGGTTAAGCATTGATAATCGACGCTTGGTGGGGAATTCCCACTATTTAAACGCGTGACTATAAAATAGAATAAAATAGAAACGGAACATATATATTATATACCATAAGTAACGGAAAACTGGAACAAGTAAATAATAAATAAAAGTAAAATGGATACAAATGTTTGATAGACCGTGTTGAAAGATTGATCTCCTGCGTTCATTAGTCATTTCACCCGAAGAAGTTGAAACCGGGCGTGTTAGCGTCCACCGGTCTTAACACAATTCTTCCCCCTATCTACGGTTATTATGTACATTGGCCATGGCCATGCTAGATAAGAAGCGAGAGAAGTTGAAACCAGGTGTGTTGGCGTCAATCGGTCTCAACGCAATTCTATCCCTTATCTACGGTTAGGTTACGGGAGAAGTTAAAACCAGGTGTGTTGGCGTCAAACGGCCCTACTCAGTTCTTCCTCCTTAACTACGTTAATAATTTACATTGGCCATGCCAGAGAAGTTGATAATAGGTTAGTAAATGGCAACGCGTCATGCCTTCCTTCACCTACGTAACAAGAGAGAGAAAAACGGCTGCGAATACCGGAACTCTCTTCTACTTGTTGAGCTTTCATTTTTCGCAATCGACGAAATTGACTGCTTTGAAGAAAGCTCGTTTCAATGCAATAATTACGACTTTACGTAATTCGTAACTTCCCTTCCGTAACTCCAAATAATTACGTAATTCCGTAAATCCGTAAATTACGTGCAAGCCTACTCCGAACAAGGCCCGGCGCGAGCAACCATTGATATCTAACAATATGTATTATCCTGGTACTTCGAAAGGCTAGAATCTTTCCGGTTCAAAATTGCCAATTCATAACAATATGGATGACACTGTGAACCCGAAATGTTCATCTGCGACTCCAACGTTTAAATTTTAAATCGCTAGGCGACGGGCTTAGCCATGAATTTTAAAGGGGGCGGTTCTGAAATTTCCAAGTTAAACCGTGACAACCAGCTGGCCCGGCCGGAAAATGTAAGGGTTCGAGAGTCTTTGGCGTCTAAAAGTTACGAAAATTGCCATGTATGTATGATACAGGAAAAAAATTTCATTTTGAAAGGGAGTTCCGATCCTCATGCCCCTCCATGATGACTACGTCTGTGTGCTAGACTTTGTGATTATACGGACAGTCTATAGTGGTGGAAATGAGGTTCGTAATCGTCTAATCAAGAGAATGGAAAACATGGATTCATAGTACGTTAAAGATCTTAGGTTCGGATTCGGCTTGGTCTGTTAGAAATCAACAAACTAAAATGAATTAAATTCCTATTCATTGAAATAATGAAACTAAAAACACATTTATATCCAAAGCGGTCACGTGATATAAAATATAGATACAGCAGACGAAGAATATACAGTGCTCAAAATCAATTCCAATTTACGCCATATATATATATATATTAATACGATACGAACATCATGGGTAAAAATTGTTGTTGTAATTGTTCTAAGACATCACTCAAACTTAAAAATAAAGGAGATAGATAATGCAGCAAAGTTAAGGGCTACCACTGAAATTTTAAGAGGTGCTGAATATATATAGAATTATGTTGGTGCATTAGTTGCACTTACTCAGAAACAAGGGGGACTGACAAAGCGACTGAAACTAATTTTCACAAATGATCGGAGACTTGCGATTTTATTTTTCTATTGCATCTGAATATATCTGAACTTCTAATAAACCAAATCAATTCAAAACATTAATTGAAGCTATTGAACTTGGCAGTTTCATCTCACAAGATTGTTCCCTGATTCTGCGGACTATTTTTTTTTGAGTGGTTTCCCAACTTTTCTGTGTAAATTCTATCCTTCTCTGTTGCTCTTCGTGACTAGGCCAATCCTCAGCTTTCTCATACGCATCCAGAGATTGCAAATAAACTGATTCAGCCTTGGAATAATCACCGAGATTATATTGCAAAGTACCACTGTTGTTTAATAGATTCCCAAACACCCTATATTTTGCGGCGTCCAACCCAAACGTTTTTTTCATCAAATCTAAACCTTCGTTATAAAATTTGATTGCTTTGTCATATTTATCAACGGCATTGTAACTCCTACCTACGTATTTCAAGCATTGCGCTTCCTTATCCGCCTTCCTAGTATTATTAGCTCCCGACACTGACCTCCAATCTCTCTGATTCCAGGAACCGAATTATTCGAGTTCGAATCGAACTTATACAACTTAGCACAGCAAGAGAGTAAAATCAATGCACGAATATGAGACGAATCAGAAATATAAATATTGACCAATTTGATGACGTCACCGACCTTAGGTCTTGGCGATGACGTCATCATTGTTTGTAACGCTTGAACGCACTCCGACGCGTTTATCTCTTTTCCAAGTTGAAAGTAGCATTCTGACATCATTAACTGTTGGAATGGCGATGACGAAAGATCTTTGATCTGATCCACAACTTCGATTAACTTTTTATTTTGCATGAGATGACGAGAAGTCTCTGAAAAGGTTGTTGTGGTTGTTAAACTTGCACGCGTTCGGGCATATACTTTCGAACGCCTTGCTCGGAATATTTGACATGATATAGATAATATTTCAGTAAACAAAGTCAAAACTTTCTAAAAAAAAGCTAAGCGAAGGCCGTGAAGAGTGGGATGAAGGCGGTTGGAGGAGGTGAGAGGAGGCAATAAAAGTTGACAGCTGAGAGGGAACGTAAAGTACGAAATTGAGCACATGCACATGAAATCCAAAATTAGAATATACCCTTTTCCATTTTGCTTTTTTTGTTTTCTGTTTCGTTTTTTATTCTTTCGTTTTGCTTTTCTATTTTTTTTTTCATTTCATTTTTTGTTTTGTTTTAACTGATACGCGCGCGTATCATCTTCTTCTCACTGAATTTCGTTAGAAACTAAAACTGACTCATTGTACGTACCAACGGGAAACAAACAGACAAATGGGATGGCAGATAGTTGCTGGGCGTCTATCAGAGCAGCTACCACGGGCTTGATTTTTTAATTTGCCCACGGATTCATTCGTTGATGCAGAAAACGCAAATGTTATTACGCGACCATCGCCATAATCGAATGAATGTACCCGATTCCCAAATTTCCATACGCCAATGATGTAGAATTAGAACCGGAAATCGTGTTTTATTTTTGATTATAAATTAATACCGTTAACTTAAATTTAACGATATTGTTCTAAATGACGCCGGGATAACGATATAATCAGTAATAAATAATATTTAATAGCTATTTTATACGCTTTAAATTGCAAGAATTGAAAAAAGTCCCCGTTATGTTCGCCCCCTGTCGAAACTAGAGATGAAAACAAATAATTATAAAAAAACATTTTGCTTTTAGATTTATTGCCGAGGCCGCGGTTTTTGTTTTAGGCCTTTTGTTTGTAGGGAATTTGGTGCTCCCGAAGTATGTGTACCAAGATGGCGCACAACCTGAACATAGTTTGTTTACCAGGTTATGGTTCAGGTTGTGCGTCATCTTGGTACACATACTCCGGAGCGCCGAGAATTTTACGTTAGTCGAAGTTATATTTTTACGAAAAGAATTTTCGTAAGTTGATTTTTTTGTATCCAGATTCTTTTTTTTCATGTAAAGTTTCTTCTATATTTGATTTTCTCAGGAGAATTTTTTTTAACTCGGCAGTCGATTCTAATTTTTTCAGACTATAAAGTCCCAGTGCCGATGAAACCCAGCAATATTATTTCGTTGTTCTGGCCCAGAATTCTGTCTCGAACTAAGTAATTTTTTTCATCAACATTTCAGAAAGAACTTGCGGTTTGGGGGCCACAATCTGGTTCTGTTGTTGACCGAATGCAAAAGTGGTTCGCCCCGAACAAGACGATCACGCAATAGGTTTTTAAAAAAAAAATATAATGCTTGGTTCCGGCCTATCCACCCACTTTATTACATCGTGAGTGAGAGCCCGACATTGCGCCTATAACCACGAGAATAATTGTAAGTTTCATATCAAAATGTAGAAAGAACAAATATCTACCACATGCAATGAAATCCTTCATTCCGCCGCTCACATTCATCTTTGCAATTGACTTTTTGACGTCAGAAGGTGTGGATGGCGATTTGGGTTTGTTGTCTAAAGCAAAGTTGAATAAGTTGATGCAAATGTATATACATATATATATATATATATATATATGTCATTGTTGCTTACAGTAAATGCACATGTATATCAAAGCTAATCCAGCGTCTATATATATTACGAAGTCATCACAAATGGTATGGCTTAGCCTCAACGTCTGAATCCGGCCCGGATTATGATTTTGTGGGTAACGGTAAATAAACAGGAATACTTTAACATGTAATTTGTTACCGAGAACATTCAAGAAACATCACTTTGCTATCATTAGAAAGGTCGTCTTAGCCGCTTCCCGAGAACTGTGGCTAAAGACGACTAGTAACAATAGTTTTTATACATTTGTGCAATAGTGCTTGTGCATTATGAAATACACTCTGTTTCTCAAATAAATAAGTAAAACGTTGACATACTTTGTGCAAACATCATTGGTGACTTATTTCCTTTTTTTCCCTCTGATTCTTTGATAACAGTTGTTGGTACCGAGTCATGTTGTAGTGTGTTTGATGTGGTAGCTTCTGAGTTTCCTTAGAATGAGATGGTATTTAGATAACAAACTTCTATTGCTACTGAGAATATGAAAAAGCATGTTTAGGTTGAGAATATACCTGGTACTGGAACGACGACCTGGGCAATCTCTGCGGCTTTAACATCCGTCTTCTGCCTGGAAATAAAATGGACCAATGTTATTGTCAGCTGATTTACATGCGATAGTAACAGTAGCTGCTTGTGATCTGGTCTAAACTTTAACTATGGAGTCAGAGGCTGACTGTCTGTTTACTGGTATCGGCATCGATTCGTATATTCAAAAGGAATTACTACTACGTTTACAAACTTTATTCTGTAACGCTACGCGGTAATTATGGAAATTTTATTAATTCCTAAAGGTTTTACTTTTAAATTTCTTACCCGACATTGTCTCCAGCAATATTCGTTTCTTCCTGATGCTTGATGTTGACATTGACGATAACGGAAGGTTTTCCTTCTGCCATTTTGTGAATTGTCCGTTTATCTAGTCTATATTTATAATAATTTACTGCACCTAAATGCATTAAACAGAGTTTACCGTTGAGAACGTGTGTAATTCGTTGAACAAAAGTAATGTAGGGTGGTCCAAACCCAGGCCCGCGGGCCACATGTGGCCCGCCGCTCTATTATCTGTCGCCCGCGCCGCCTTCGGTAAGCAATCAAAATATCGTATTTTAAATCGCTTCTCATAAAATAAATCAGAAAAATCATTTGACATTGTTGTTATATCACTACTGTGACTGAATTGACTAGTATGATGGCTAGCTGAAGCAACCAGCGAAGTTGAAGATGTGATTGACAGTTTGAATTGTTACCTGGATTCCTATCGTTTTGGTGGGGAATATATGCTAACAATATAGGCATGATAGAAAACTAATCATCGGATGCGGATTCGATGCATTAGCATAGGTGGCAATGCCTGATAACTATGTGTTTACACAATAGAAGTGCTTGTATTGTATTGCACTGTTCACCTATTCTTGGTACTATTGTGGCCCGCGACCAATGCCAAAATAATTTTGTGGCCCGCGGAGCCCACAACCTTGGACCACCCTGAAGTAGTGACTTGGTTGGGATCATGTTTCGGCTAAAAATTTTACTGATCTTGATAAAGGTTTTTAAAAAAGAACCACGGATCGGTACTTAGGGGTCTTGAGCAAATCCCGTCACTAGGTACCATTCGGCATGACTTTATGTAGGTTAACTCTGATTAGTTTTTTCATTTGGCTGTAACGCATATATTTTTCGTTTTTGTTTGTTGGCTTTTTTATTGTTAAACGTGGCGCACGTAGTAATTGTTGGGAACGCTCCAAAGGCCAATCTCTTTTTAAATCCAAGTATTTTTAAGGAGAGGCAAGATAGAGGAACACGTGTAGACTGAATTATATTGAAATTCACAATTACTTGTTTAATGAACTCATAAAAATTTAATTGTAACTAGACAAATGGCAATTAAACGCAGAGAAGTTGATACTAATTGCAAAAGGTTCAATGGCGCCGGAAATATTCAAATGGTATTTTTTGAGATGCAATGCAATGTATCACGGCTTGATTTTTATTATAAAAAGCATCATCCGCTCGGTTTTCAACTTTCTAAAAATATGTGCGGCCCGCCAATGACTTACAACCCTTAATTTTGGCACGCGAACGACAATTGGTTGTCGACCCCTGGTTTAGGCCAACTAGTTTGCGCACATTGTATTGCGTTTATGATTATGATTGATAGCCTGTGCGACTTATAAATCATAAACGAATAGCATAGCGTATACATTCATTAGATTTAAAGACCCAAGCTATTTATCATCAGAACAAACAACGAGAGGAGTCGATGTGGCCAATAAATCTGTCACAAAACACTTCTCACGCAATCGTGTTTAACTAATATTTAACCGTTAATCATACCAGGATTTCGTTGAAATGAAAGCTAAACACTAAAATTATTCAAATTGAGACTGGTTTTAAACATTAGTAAATGGCTTAATCGACACGAAATTATAACACACATTACATCGAAGGCAGGGCTTTGGAGTGGAGGAAAATTCAAGATGAACTACAGATGGAAAAAATTTGGTTCATACTCCGAGTGGGTGGAAATTTCGGCTCCGACTTCAAACTAGAGATAATTAAAAATTTTGATACCAAAAACTTTGCGTAAATGCTTCGTAAAGTCAATTATTTTTTAGGGTTTCTTAAAAGCATTTCATACCATAATAAAAGTCTGGAATTCTGTTTGTGGAAAATTGAACAATTCAACGCTGGGAAATTTTAAAATCCGAATCAAGGCAAACAAACTTCATATCTGATTTTCATCTATCTCTTACAAAACTATGCTTTCGCGAAACTATATTCTCGCAAACGTACATTATCTCAGTAGTTATTTCCCGCAAAACTACATTCTCGCTAAAATTTATTCGCACAAAACCATTAATTTTCCATCTACAGATAGATCTTAATGTGGATTCGCAGTTCAAACTTTTCTTCGAACAAGGCTCTGGGACAGCATGTACTTTGGCGATACTATATTTTGAGTTATATCTTATTACGCAAAGATTTGCCATATCGCCAATGTTCACTTTTTTGGGTACGCTGTGGGCTTACAACTTGATCTGCTAATCTCTAATCAACGGCTTCCAATCTCAATCTATAACAAGGATTGTACGATCAAGACTCTGGGCGCTGCAATAAAATTACTTTGTTCAACTCGTTGTCAGTGAGTGTCACAACAACACATTACCAAAGGCAAACGGTAAAATATTTGAAACTATGAGGGTTAAATCTACAAAGCGTCATCGATTAAGATGTTTAATTATTAGCAAACTTCTTCGGAATTCGCAAACACAGCAAATGATTTAGGACATTAAAAAAGAAAAAAAAAAAAAAAAACAGTAGACCGGAACACTGACTGCATTTCGCATGGTTCATTAAACATTCTTCTGGCTAAAGCGTCGTGATAACAAATATATGTGTTCAAGTAGTTTGTGATTGCTCAGCCATACTTGGTGACCTCAATCACATGTGTTAATTATCACACGAAGTTTAGAGCAGAATGATAGATATGATTTTCGTATTGGTCCCTGAAAAGTCGGTTATTTGTTTCAGATGCTTGATAGCGGGGAAAGTAACCGGTGGCCATGACAGATAATGTACTCCCTAGTCTACTGCCGGTATTGTGTCTGCTTGCTTGCAAAAAATTTTACCTCCTGAACAAGCCTAAACCCACTAGAATATTCGTTGTCCAGATAGTCGAACTTTTGCTACTCCTGAAGTATGCGCACCAAGATGTCGCATAACCTGAACCCTAACCTGGTACACAACCTGAGTTCAGGTTGTGCGCCATCTTGGTGCGCATACTCCAGGAAGTCCGAACTTTTAATTAAATCAAAACTCTTACTATAATTTCTATGTAAATTTGTTTCCAGTGCCCACTTATTATGTCGCCAAGCTTGATCAGATTGTAGAATGGGTATGCGTGGAACCGTCTCACCATGGCTGGCCCTAACTATCAATGTGCTTGTTTTAACAGAGTAGTTTAATTTAATTTCGCGAATTGCGGAAAGTTTACATTTACTACAGAACGTAAGGTATTGTTTGACAGTCGGGCATGTATGGCAAGCTCATATCTATGTTATACTTGGATTTATTTATATGCCAAGCATGAACGACTGTATCAAAAGCAGGAAACTCTAAATAAAATGGAGATTGTGAGTACTGGATTTCATTATTTGAATTCTTGTGCTTTGTTGGACAGACAAGATGTGTGCTTGTTTATTTGTTGATCACAAGGTAGGATATGGTGTGCTGATATCAAGCCCTGAATGATTTAGTAGCACAAACAAATGGGGATGGTGGGCACTTGGTCGGACGTTTTGTGGGCCGTATGCACATATGTCTTGTGGCACGAGGACGATTATAATTACTTTAAATAAAGATAAATAAAGGAGCGAAACTGCAACCGTACTCTTCTAGAATGAAAATCGGCAATATAAACTACTAAGAATAAAACGGAAAGCGCCATAAGTTTGATTTTAGGAGTCCCGCGATACAAATACTATGGGTAGTCACTTAGCTAGTCCCCGAACTCGTAATAGAACTAAAATAAGGAAAATTGGAACAAAATTTTGCTCTCACCCTAACCTGGTACACATACTATGTTCCGGGGTCCGCCATCTTGGTTCACATACTACTAGAGTACCCTAAATTGTACTGGCTAGGATTTTCTAGAGAGAATTTTTGCACTTTATTTCACATTATATGTCCCTAGACTTTCGTGGTGTTTTGGGTGTTGAGTATATTTCCTTTGTTTTGTCGACGCAACGGCAAGTTACGTTGAACACAACATTCTCAACAAACCTATGAATATGTTAAGATCTGTACTGGATCGACATGTTTTATAAAGACTGAAATTCTTCCCACGAGTACGACGCACCTAATTTTTGCAACGTTCATTCATGCCTTTCGCTCTGAACAAGCCTCTGTGCGAGTACCAAGTAGCCACTGATATCTAACGATTTGTAAGGATCCAAACTGAGCACGTAAACGCCATGCCAATGCAGCTAAGTCTAACGCTTTAACCGCTCGGCCATTGCATCCAATTTCTTACGAACTGGAGACTATATGGAAGGGCGATGTTCTTTCTGACAAATTCCGACAAACTTAGAAACCACTTGATAAATAGGTTCGATTATATTTATTCAATCACTACATCTATCAATACAAAAATTATAAAACACTCGATGAATTAAATACAATAACTGACTTGAAATTATGAATACATAATTGCTTCCCAAGCTTTCAATAAGCAAAAGCCACTTCGAACTAAAAGCAAAAATAAATGTTCACAATACACAACACTGAAATTATTTCAATAAAAGTATGCAAAAGCAAGAAAATAGTTGAATATGTAACAGTTTTAGCATGGGACTAACCAACGTTTTTGGAACAATAAAAGATATTCTGAAGTGTAGGATGCCGAAATACATATTTTTCGAAATTGAGACGGGATTTTAAATGCTTACCGAAGTCAAAATTTCCCACAGAAACACAAAAAAATTTAAGATTACATATAATTTAGAGATTGCAAGGACTACTTTATTGTTTGGCACTTGGTCATGTATTTCTCTCCGAACAAGGGCCTATACAGGCAGCGACTGATATCCTACAATATGTGAAAGCATTGCGCTGGTAAATTATTTTTATAAATGATCGGAAACCTGAAGTTTTATTTCTGCATCTACTTCATATACGTTGATCTGAAGTTTTAATCATCTAAACTAATTCGAGGAAATAGTTTGGGGAAGAACTTAGAAAAAAAGATTTTTCAAAGAAATATTTTATGGGGAATCGGAGATTTATAATTATGATTGTAAATATCAATTTTTATAACTTGAAAAGATTATTTCACAAATAAGAATTTGGTAATTTACTGCGAATTTATGTTTCCACAAAATGTAGAAGTGATGTTTATGAATATCATTATTGATTGATCACGGAAGAACGTCGTT